CCCCACTTTAGTCTAATCTCGCCAAAGGACATAGTTCAAAAAGTCCAAACGTGGTTCAGATGCAACACTGCAAACCTGAGCCCTGCTGCCATGTTCTTTTTAAGAGGTCAGACACTTTCCACTCTTCCAAACAAGCCATACTTGTTCAGACTTTTTCTAATCGTGCTCTCACGAAGTGGAGGTCAGTAGAGTCTCAGATGTAGCTCTTGGGTTTTTGGGGGTTTTTTTGCTAATTCATGATATAGTCTGACCTTGCAGTCAATTTGCTGCTACTTCCACTTCTAGAAAGATTGGCAGCAGTCTTGAATGTTTCCACAGCTGAATAATGTCTGTCACCGTAGAGTGATGGACTTCAATTCTACTGTTGCCTCTCTAAAACATAGCAACAGTTGCTTTGTACATCGTTGCATAGAATAAAACTCTGTTTTCAAACCAAGTTCATTGTTTTCTTAACAATAAAAGAACGTTACACAATGCAGGCCAAATACTTAACCAGTATAATATAAATCATAACTGGTTTAATGTAAGCGGCCCTGTTCTGACTGTTGAGCTATGGCTCATAGCGCAACATCGCCACCTACTGCTTTGGGGATGAAAGTTCAGCAATGGGTGACAGCAGAGGAGAGTGCTCACTTAGTGTCGTGTTAAAAGCATTGCCATCCAAAGAATCTGCCAAAACCAAAGCCTAAAAAAACGTTGATGATGATTAGCTAGTCCAAACGTCATCAACAGAACAGGGAGAGCCAATCAAAACAGCTCTAAAAGCCATTGTTAGGCCAGCAACCCTCCAGACTTTCCTGCAGCAGTAAAAATTTATTTTACTCCAAATTTATACAAATCTGTTGGGGAAAATAGGTCTTTGTTATAACTTCCACAAACTGCAGGCCTGGGGAAGTGCTGGGATTTGTTTAGGTGCAACCAACCTTTCAATCCTAAGCTGTGTTGCTATGTTTTGTTTTAGGGTTTTTTTAGAGAGAGAAGAAACTTTTCTCTTGGCAGCGCTTTTAAACTTCCAAACAAACCGCCATACTTGTTCAGTATTCTTCTAATTGTGCTGTGATGAACTTCAACTTTTAAAGTCTTTTTTGTGGCCTGTAGAGTCTCAGATGTAGCTCTTGGGTTTTGTGGAATTTCCCTAAGCATTGCATGGTTTGACCTTGGGGTGAATTTTGCTGGAATGTCCACTCCTGAGAATATTGTGGCATTGTGTTAACATTGTGTGCATGCAGCTGAATGCTGCCAGAACTTCAGCTTTTATAGAGCTATCATAGTTGTTCATGGATCTCTTAAATCAAGTGCATTTGATAGGCAACACCTGGCCCTACTTATCAACACAATGGACTGGGTCACAGTCAGATCCACTGCCATTACAATTGGGAGACAACCCGCTCTCCCACCTGAGCCCCACGGTAAATTGATAAGGCCCCACTCACCCAGGCGAAAATGTCACCTTTTGAAAAGTGTTGGCTGATGGGCTAAGGCACTACTTTTTCTTTGAAGCTGAACAGTCTCTGTTTTGTTGGCTGTTTTGTGTTTTATGGCTTTAAAAATGTACTGAATAGTTATGTGGTTATATACCACAGGCTATCATATATGTGTGCAAAATTTAAATGTTTGTAAAACATTAATCACTCAGAGACTTACTTAAAAACTAGATTCGAATGTCTAAAAACTTATTCTGTCCCACTTAATTGTTTTTCTATTACTTTTGTGTAGTATGAATGTAGAAAAAGATGTCAAACTTAAGAAAATATAGTTTAAAGTTCAAAACTGATCCCTTCCTTCACATTTTCCAGACTCATGCCGTGGGCTGGATTGGAGTCAGTTTTGGCTCCCGTGGCCTTATGTTTGACACCCTTGCTCTAAACAGTCTTTTCATATTAATATAAGTGCCTGAACAGTCTATGCCATTTGCTTTATCGCGCCCACGTTTTCTATGTGCGACAAGCGCAGTCTCTACTGGCTATGTTGCAGCTGAGTGTTTATTTTTCATGTCTACACCAACATGAATGAGTGAGGTAGGGCAGCACGTACACCGGAGAGCACTTTAAGTGGTCTGTTTACTGAAAAAATCTTTTCATGTGGTTTTATGTGTCTCCACTGCATATAGGCGGGTCTCACTTGAGACTTTTTTTTGGATGGTGACGAGTCAGGGCAAAAGGGAGCTCTGTGCTGAAGAGAGGAAATAGGCGTTCACCCTGGAAACTTTGGGAGTAAGTGACCAAAATAAAGGGGGTGTGGCTAAGCGAGAAAAGAGTGGACCACCAAGAGGGGCTACTATAGTGTAGAGCGGGGAAGCTGCTGCTAAGCTGCTGAGATCTAGTTCAAGTGAATAAGCCACATCCAGGGTAAGTAGAGCTTTCTTTGAATTTTGATGCAACTTCTCTAAATATCTTGTTAAATCATGTAATTTAACAAGGTACCAACAACATAACATTTCATCACATTTAACAATTTGTAGACCACGTCAGTTATCAGACTGGCTAAAGGCAGTGATTGTATCACATGCTGTGTTACTGTAATGCCTGTATTTGAGTTTTCTTGCACAAAAATTATCATTTTCAGTTGATTTTTTCTTTGCACTTTAGTGCGATGGGTTAACTCAAGCGTAATGACATAATTTGAGAGTAATCGTGACTCCACCGCCCCTCCAAATTGTCCTTTCCTTCAGATAAAGATCTTTACAGGCAATTTTTCCTGTTTCTTCTTTTCCTGTAAGCCTCCTTCTTCCTCCTCCTCTGCTTTTTGTCTCCTTGAATTTCTATTTATTATGAAAGAACTCTAAACTATTAGCTGCTATGACAGCCAGTTTAGCAGTTTGGTACACTAAAGTACAATGTCAAATCTTTTTTCCCCTCAGACTGATTTACTCCAAGTTTACAAGTAGATTTGGATTCAATCCGCGTTTAAATGTGGATTAATTACAGACCATTAACCCTTTCATGATGAAAGAAACCTTCAGAGGAGCAGAGAGGTTAACTGAGTAATTATTTTGGCGCCATTTAGATTTCACTGGGTCCACACAGGTTATTTTGCTGTAGTAGGCTGTAAACACACACATACCCAGTCAAAGAGAAGTTTTAGAAATCACTTCTCTGTGGTCTTATGTAATACAGAGAAAACTCTGTTCAGCTCCTCAGATTTTTCCATTTAAAGTTTCAAAAACAGGAAAGGTGCCCAACACTGGCTTTCACTGTGGAACCAACAAACACATTAAAAGCTTCACACACAATTTCCTTTACTGCGCCGGATGCCAATGGCTCAGGAAACCTAAAAAAAATGTTGCGTTTGATTTTGGCAGGTAATTAAAAATGCCGTACCTGCTGATGTTTGTCACCCTGCTGCATCTCATCACTCTGGCAATCCTGATTATTGCAACCATGGAGAAGGTAACAGTCAACTTTAGGAAGTGGTGAGTGTTTATTTTTCGTATGTGTGAAATAGCTGACTCTGTGTGTAATGTCTGATCTCTTTTTTAAGTCTTGGTGGGTGTGGGAAGGGATGGAAACCTCAGACCTATGGCACAGCTGCAGGTATGACAACTCCACAGAAAGCTGGCTGTGTTCACCCAACACTGAAACTCGTAAGTTTTTGTTCCAGATCGTATATTGCTGTAAAATGAAATAGCTCTCCATCGAAGGTAAAAATGTGACTCAGGGAATGGTTTACTTCTTCAGAATGGCTCCAGGCAGTGCAGGTCTTAATGGTTCTCTCGGTGGTCTTCTCATCGGTCTCCTTCCTGGTGTTCCTGGGTCTGCTGTTCACCATGTCTAGAGGCGGTCTCTTCTACTTCACCGGATTGTGTCAAATCTTTGCAGGTAACAGTGGAGTGAAGTAGCTTGCAAAATATAGTGCCACTGTGTGATCAGGGCATTTGAAAACTATGACAAATTAAAGAGTGCTTATTATTATGCTACTCAAGCCTATTACAATAACTAACTTGTGGAAAGGTATCAGGTAGATTAATGCTGAAGTTTGTTTTTTTGTAATCATATGACTTATACTATTAAAATAATAATATTAATGATAATAATATATCCATCTATTTTATGACACTTATCTGGAAAGCAGGGGTGGGAGTCTAAGCAGAGATCCCCAGACCTCCCTCTCCTCTGTCACTTACAATATGTGCATTTATTTTTTTTAAACATGTCACCTGAAATATTTGAGATCACCTCTGTTTTTAAATGTCTTCTTTGAGGCAGTAACCGCTACTCCTGATAAAATATGAATGGCATGGATCTGTGTTGGTCATCCAAAGTATATGCTGTTGTTGCTCCCACTGTACTTTATGTGACCTAATTAGTAGGTACTAACACTACAAACGTTTCTACTATCTGACCCATTAACCAATTATTATTGTGTGTATGGTTTTTTTTGTGTATGTGTTTTAGGCCTGACAGCCTTTTCTGCAGCGCTCATCTACGCAATACACAACAAGGAAATCCTTGAAAAAAAGCTGACAGGACACTTTGGCTACTGCTTCATCCTGGCTTGGGTGTGTGTCCCATTGTTGCTGTGTAGCGGCGTCTTATACATCCATCTGCGCAAGAAGTAGTGATCTAAAAAAAGGAACACAATGTCAACCCCACCTATTGTTGGAAAGAGGCACGTGCCTATGTTATGTTTCTTAAAATGTTGCTGTTTTTATTTGTATAGACATGTATGCTGAGAGGAAAAAAAACTTTTAAAAGGTTTAATGCTTGCCTATTTTGAGACATTTTCACTGCAAATAGTATTTTGTTATTCACTTACTGTTCACTGTCATGTGCTAACCACATAAAGTAATCCATAAGTAAGTGACACTGGCCTTATTAAGAGGCATTTGAATTTATTTTAATTTGCCTATTCCCCTAATATTTTTTTATGTATGTATTATATATATATATTATTATATATATATATCATTCTTAATAAATATCAGACAAAACCACAAAGCTTTAAGTCTCTTTTATGTTTTCAAACCAGCTTTACATCAGGGAGCGAAACTGCTGAGGCTGTTGCCATGTCAACCATAAACTAAACAGGGAACCCTAACTGGTACTAGCTTTGGAAGCTAATAGCTTAAAAGCTGCTTTTTATGTTGCAAAATTAAGCTCATATCGACTCATAAACAAGCTTCGTAGCAATAATGGAAGCTGAATCTCAAGCGTCCGCGATCATTCCTCTTGCCTTGCCCAAAGGAGCGGAAAAGTTCTGCGAGCTTTGCCAAAGAGAAGCCCGCCTGCAATGTAGCAAGTGTCGAGTCACTTTTTACTGGTAAGCTCAGTTTATCCGAGCTGTGGCAGAGCGATGCCCGTGCTAACGACTGACCCGTTATTCATAGATAGATAGATAGATAGATAGATAGATAGATAGATAGATAGATAGATAGATAGATAGATAGATAGATAGATAGATAGATAGATAGATAGATTTTTTTAAAGGCATGTATTGTGTTTAGTTTATATGGTTTGGTCAGAACCGTGTTTACGGGTTGGACGCTAGGTGGCAGCGTTCGCCATGTTTTTCTCCCCTCCCACGCTCACACATACATAACACGTCGGTAAGGAGGGCGTTTTAGTGTGATTGTCATGAGGAGGGAGCGGAACAGCTGGAAAATACATTACCACAACGCTTATTTTTGTTCTTTTGCCTGCGTGTTGTTTTCATAATATAATTTGCTGAGCTTCAGCTTTTATGTAAACCCGACGTTACCTTCTTTGACACTGTTTTATATGCGGTTCCAGACCATAACATGGTGCTGGGCAGTTTCCCCGTTGGCACACACTGTGGGTAGTGAAGAGGAGCATGTGGCGAGATCACTCCCTGTGGGGATTTATGGAAAGGGATGAGCAACTAAAGCCAGTCTCAGGCAGCTTACAGATACTTATTGTGGCTGCCATCCTTTCAGTCTTTAAAATGGGTGAATGAGAGGCACAATTTTTGGTTTTATTAAAAAAAAAAAAAACAGATATAAATATAGGTACACATATATGTCAGACAATAAGAATCAGGTTCTCAGGATTCTTAAAATCTTTAATTACACGTGAAGCAAGCATACTGAGCTATTCCCAGTCATGGATTGAGCCAAAGTAATACACATGGAATAGGGCTTTAGGGTAAAATGGTTAGTCTTAAGTCATCCTACTTTGGCATGCGAGTCATGTGTGTGGTGATTGTTTGGTGTATTTTGCATAGAAAACTCAGCGGGGACAAGAGAGTACATCCTGAAGAGACCACTTGATTTGTGTTTATCTCTGTGTGTGCCTTTCTGTCTGTCTCTGTACTCTCACAAGCACAAGCTGTGTCAGTGCTACTGTTGATATGACATGGTCAGATTTCCAGCTCGCTGCTTCTCACCACAAGTACACTGGAATGAGCGCACATTTTTCACAGTAGGGGGGAAAAAACTCAGCTGAAAAGCAGGACAGTTTCCACACAAGTGTGCAGAAGAGGAGAGCCAGATGAACAAAATTACAGACCAGTTATGTAATGGCATATAATTTCGTATGCCCTCTGTGTACTCAGATGATATCTCCTGAATCAGAGAGACTCTGCCCTGAAAATGTTAGCAGAATCCAAACAAGCTGTTACTGCACAGAGATTTTTACTGTCAAGCACACATAATAGTATCTGTCTGGACAAGAGAGGTGAGCCTGATCCATATGTTTAAATCATCCACAACAAGTATGAGCTGCAGGTCAGCTTATGTCATAAATCGTGATTCTTTATCAATAGCTTCATTGCCAGGAAAACATCAGTCTCAGTGTGCAAGAGGGAGACTTATTATGCATAAAAATGCTTCTCACAAAGTCCTGAGGTGGCTTAAGAGAATATAAATATGACTTAATGACCTGTGGGTTTTTAAAACATCCAGTGCTGCAGAGCACCAGCAGGCTGACTGGGTGGGGATCCACGAGAGAATTTGTCAGCTGCTTGTTCCCATCCGCGCCCTGACACTCTGCAGTCTCCGACAGACCAGTCACACTGAAACACAAATTAAAAAGGTGAGGATGCGTGGAAATCACTGGCACCATATATTAGGAGAAAAAAAATATGAAGTTTTGAAGTTTGAGTCTAGGTTGCATTTCTTACTGTCAAAGACAATACAAAAAAAAGACTATATTATTATTCCTTGAATGGTTTATTTCCCCTTTTTCTTTATATGATTTGTCATTGTGGTGCACAAAGTCCAGGTCTAGGTTGTAGCTCCTAATTTTGGAATATAGATTCTGGAAAAAATATGTGTTACAGCTGAGAGGAACAGTCAAATAGAGGCATTAGTGTATAGACAACTTGATAGTGTTTTATTTTAAGAGGAAATAAGATATTTTAATTTGATGCCTATCTTGGATTTGATTTCTTATATAGGCAGAGCTTATTGAGATTTGCAGGTTGGTGGCTCAAAGTAAGCTATCTGAGGGAAAACACCAAGAGGCTCTGCCTGCCGCTCAGCTCTGCCTGCGCTGTTCCATAGACGTTCATGGCCCTAACACCGTCCAGCTGGTCCCTGCCTACCTGCTGCTGGCTGAAGCCAACATGGGTGAGAAACAAGCACAAAACGGCTTCTCAGTTTAAATGTTCTCTTATCGTGTGGTGTTTCATGCATGACCGTGTGTGTGTGTGTGTGTGTGCATCTCCAGGTTTGGGTAATCTAGACCTTGTGGCAGATTTCCTGTCCCAGGCAGAGTGGGCAGTGTTGAAGAGTCCAAAATGTGGTCTCACAATCCACCACCAGCTCCACAGGAGCCTGGGCCGCCTCCATGTGGCGGCTGGAGACCTGGATACTGCGTTGCATAACTTTGCAAATGATGTCTGTGTCATAATTAGCACATTAACTGTTTGATAACTTTATTGATATTGTGAGGAGCAGAAGCCATTTGCTAACCAAATGAAATCCATAATGGCTTGTTTATTGCTCGAGCATGTTTTTTTGAGTACGATACAGTATTGTGTATTGAATTAGAGTTTCTTGGAATTTTAAAGGGATGTTGAGCAATAGTTTTCAAAGTTTTCTTTTTACTCATTTTAATCCAGTCCTTGTACCTGACTCTTCTCACAAGAATGAGGGTTTTTTTGCTTGTTTGTTAAGCCATTTAACATTGACCCGTGAATCATTCAAGCATAACAATGGCACCTAACTCAAAGATATGAACCGGTGTTATGTCTACACAAAGCAGACAACTTAGCAAAGAGCCAATTTCATTGTCCAGGTACTTTGTTACTAGCAGCCTCTCACAAAAGCACATCATTTTTGAAGCTATGAAAAATGCCAAAGACAGCACAATGTGGGAGGCACAAAATAGTATTTTTGCACTAACAAAGTGATTTCTGAAGAGCTGAAAACTTGGCATATCTTGTCCTGATGTGCTGTGTGTCCTAAAAGAAAAATGAGGAAACTGGAAAAGGGGAACTCAAAAGAAGAAGTGGCCTAGAAAAACGATCTACTTGTCACATATCCTAAGAGAACCATCTGGCCCTTGAGTTGATCCATCTACTGTTTATCAACCATTGAAAATAGTTGCAGTTGAAGGCTGACAAGCCGAAATTTTTAAGGAAGGGAAACAATGAGAAAAACCTGAGGAGTATCTACAGCCATCTGTAAAACATGGTGGAGCAATGATTTGGATCTTGTCAAAATTGATGGAATAATGATAGCAGTCAAATACCACCATTCAAAAGCATCTGGAAAGTGTCTGATTAGTTTATCAGCATGACATTGATGCTCAAACACACTGCAAGTGCAGTAAAAGCAAACCTGGTTAGAACAACAAACAATGGAACAAGATCAGTTACGGACTAGCCTCCCCAAAACCTGGACCTCAACATTACTTAAGCAGCGTGAGATCATTTTAACAGAGAATGGAACAACAAGCATTTTGCACATGTTTTGTGTCGTATGCATCAGTATGTATATAACTTGATTTCCCCAGATCTACTTTGCCACTGAGGAGTATGGTCTGGATAGCACAGTCACCTCTCGGGGCTACTTTCTCATGGCTGATGTGTTTACCAAGCAGGGGAAGATATCCACTGTTCATTCCTTGTACTCTGAGGTCAGTTATGTTCTCATTGCCCTTGAGACTAAATTTATCTTCTATGCCTTTTACATTCTTTTGCTCATATTGTAGGTGGCACGTATTTGGCACCGTCACCTGACCAGACTTCTCGAGACTCGCAAAGAAAGCATCCAAAATCCACCGGTGGACTCCTTTTATGGTTTGTTGCAGCCACTCTGCATATATGTTTTGTATATATGGTATAAAAAGGTTATAAAACCAATCTAGTCGATTCAGCGGTTCAGCAGAATCAGACAATAACATCACCAGTCCATCATTCATGCTCCAAACTGTCAACAGCCAACAGCTCCACTGGAGTGTCACTGAAAAAATAAGGTCGACACTTCTATATTTGGAGTGTGTCTTGCTGTGCAATGTGAAAGCTAAACCCCAGATTTATGCAAGCTTGCTTAGAGCTGACTAGAGACCCATGCTGACACTTCTGTGGCTGTGCAGCATCCATGTCACTGCCCTGTATCACAGCTGCTGCCCTACATATAATGCTAAGCCTGTCAAACAGTTTCCCATGCTATCTGGGATGTTTACAAGGACAACACAGACATACATGTTTTGATCAAACTTGAACACATGCATGTCACTTGCTTTCTTTCATTGTTTGAGGTGGTAAAGCATGTTTGAGACCACAGTAAACTAGACGACATGCTTTTTTTTGTGTCCATGCCTTTCAATCAGACAAAGCCGAGCGAGTTGAAGTGGATGAGATGTTGAGAACTATGTTGGAATTTGAGCAGAAAGACACCAGAAAAGACCCAGCACGGATTGCAGTGGTGGCCCACTGCCTGGCCATGTTGTCGTTCCTAGGAGGAGACTTCCTCAAGGTGAGCCACCTGGTGAGGTATTAGAAGTTTAGTTTGCCCCCGTGACCCATTTCCCCATTTCCCTATTTCCTACTTGTGTTGTCTGAAGATGGGATTATCTCTATTTGTCTACTGCTAAGTCTCACGATAAGGTGGGACTTAGCACTAGCTAATGGGACTGTCTCAACGCTCTGACTGCGGCCTTGATTTCCAGTCTCTTCTTAAAGCTGCAGCTCTTTGTGTGTGCCAGTTTGAGATGTCAGGCGACAAGGCAGATAAAGCCATAGCGGTCTATGTGCACAGCAAACAGCAAAACACGTTATGTATCAGGCTGGTACGGGATGGGATGGCTGATGGGATCCTACTTCTAAGGTCAAGTAAACATAGGATAAAGCATGTAACAAGCAATGATACACATGTGGATTTTTTTTTCACAGCGTTTATTTTTATTTTGTGGCTTATAGGCAGGGCAAGATCCAGTGCACTTAGATATTCTTTTACTCAATCAACAGCTACACCAACCATATGTGTGTGTGTGTGTGTGTGTGTGTGTGTGTGTGTGTGCCATGGTACCCTGGTTAAATCATGATTTTTCTCCTTGTATTCACTACAGAGTGATACTGTTTCACATTTGGTATTGTGTAAAGTAATGTTAATGTTACAGGTCTCTGGGTTTTTGTCTTAGTGCTGTACTTATAAAAGTACATCAGTGTAAGAACAAGCAGTTATCGCGATTTGGATGGATTATTATTTTGAGGAAAATATAAGTAGTTTCTCTGAACATTAGATAACAGAGCCTATCTGTAGTCTTATCAGCTTTTGTATATGGTATTGAGGGAGCTGTGGGTAGATGCACTTATGTCCAGGTTTTTGGATAAGGATGCATTTTTAACTGAAACGCTTGCTATTTGGTTTAAATTAGGTGACTTGACTTGGCCACTGAGTAATATCTCATTTCTTTGAGTTCCTTTTGCAGTTTGCTTTGGGGTCATTATCCATTGTGAGCTGTCTGATTGGTTTTGCAGCATTTGCCTGAATCTAAGCAGAGAGTATGGGCAAATATACTTCACAATTCATCCTGCTCCTTTTATCAGTAGCCACATAAACAATGAAAACCAATGACCTGGTTCCACTGGCAGCCATACATGCCCATGCCATGACATCACTTACACTGTGTTTGACAGACGATGTGGTATGCTTCAGGTCACAGGCTGTTTCCATCTTTTTCCATAATTCTCTCCTCTCATCTTTCTGGTTTATCTTGCTTTCATCTATCTACTTTTATATATTTTTTTATTTTTATTTTCAGAAAAATCTGAAAATCAAATTCAGATATTTAGATCCAGAAAACATGAAAGAACACAGGCCTCACCCAGGCATGAAACTGTTTGTCAGTAATTTGTCCAGTTACTGAGGCTCTGGAAATGGAGGGACTGGGTATAAAAATGGCTGCAATTCCATTAAAACAGTGAATGCAGTATTTGGGATAAACCCCTCAATTTAATGCTGAAAGTCTGCACATCAGTCACGTCTTCATTGTTTGCTTTAAAAGTCACTGTGCTAGTGAATGGAAGCAAAATTACCAAAAAAAAAAAGTGTTATTGACCCGGCTATATAATACTGAAACCCCTATTAACAAATTGCAGCTATTTTTATGAATGCTGCTCAAAACGTTCCTAATTATTGGGGATAACATAACAGCCCAGCAGACCAGCTTACTAAAGGGTAAAGTGGGGTAAATAAGTCAACTGGGTTGCGGTCCAATTTCAGTGATATCATTATATAAGGCAGATTTACTCTCTCGGGAGGGTTTAACAGCTGCAGTTGCTGTGTTTGTTTCTGTGTGCCAGGCGCAGGGATTTGGCAGCACAGCCTTGCAGGCCAGCCAGCTGATACCAGACCATGACCTGACAGAGCCCATCCAGGCCCTGCTGCAACTGGTGAAGATACTCCACACAGTCCCACATCCTGGCTCTGCGGAGTCACAGTACTAAGCCCTGCCCATCGCTCTGCTTGGAGATCTGCTCTTTAAGGATATTTGTGCAGCCCCACAATGATGAAAATATACAATCAAATGCAAGATTTTCCACATGCTGTACAGTATTATTGAGAGTGGATTAAAAAATAGATGCACAGATGTAGTTAAAAGAAAAAAAAGACACATTTTCAGTTGTTCTGGATAATGACTCGTCTTTATTTTGATCTAAAAAAAAAAAAAAGAGGGATATATATACATCATTTTGAACATTAGTGAATTGCATCGTTTTGGGATCCATTTCTTAACACTGTCAAAATGTTATGGAACACAAAAATGGTCAAGGGCATTTGCTCAAGCCTTTGTGATGCAATGTTTTTGCTTGTTTTGTACCTAGCAACCCGGAGTCTCTACACCAATTCACCAAATCCAGACATAATTAAAGATTTCCAGTGTCTGCGTTTTGTCAAGAGAGCTGCACTTTTAGAGGCAAAAACATTGCATCGTCCTCCTGCAGTGGAAAGAGTGTTGTAAACCTGTTAGCAAACCCAAGATTCATGTCAGAACAGACATTTAATTGCTGAGATCTTACACAATATGTACAATTCTGAAACAATCATTCATATAAAAAAATCCGTTTTAAAATCATCTCACTACTTGTGTTATTTGCACTGAATTTATACAATAAAACATTTGTTGTTGGTCAATTTTTTTGGCATTCAGTTTCAAACACGGAAACGCTCAGATTTTCCCATATTCCCTTTTTCAATTTCTGAATACATTAGCAGCAGTTCGGAATTAAATATTAAGTTTGTGCACTGTTGTTATATACAGTGACTCATCCACAGGTCCCTACATGTTTGTTCCAAACTGGCCAACTTTCATGCAGGCCAATCAGTTTCCTTCCCTGTTTTGCTAGCATGTGGTACCCCTGTTCCTTTCAGTAGCTTCCATGCCGTTTATTTACTTTATAACAGTAATCTATACAGACCAAGCATAAAGAAATCAGTCAGAATTGGGACCTTGACCTCAAATGATCCTTAAAACAGTGTTCCCAAAGAAAACCAGATGATGAACTGGCATTCTTAAAGTCAATGGAGCACAGTTAAGTGAACCTTCATTGGCTAGATGGATCATGTATAAAATACAAATTCAAGCAGGGGCCAGAAGAGAGAAATTAACATTCCACTCTTTCCTATGGCTAGCTAATCATGTCTTTTAAAGATATGTGATCTTTATATTTACACCTATGAACACGATGTGGAATGACGCAGGTTTCGATACAAGGACAAATACTTCAAAGAATGGGGGACGACAACTGGAGATAGTTCACCAGACAGGCATTTATGTCAGTATGTGATTTGATGAGCACACCCACCAGCCCTCCCGCATCAGGAGGGTGGACATCAGCGGATTTCACAGTTTGTCAGATACTTTGATCATATGGATACTGGACAAACATCACAGTAGAGTAAATGATGTTGTTTTCCTCAGTGGAGACACTGTGATCATTTGACAGCAGACTTAAAAGCTTCCTTTTCTGGTTGTCTGGCAGATTTAGATTTGGCACCCTCCAGCAGGGGCCTGCCGTTAAGAGTCCAGACAGTTAGTAAATTGGGCCCACAACACAAGGAGAAAAAAAAAAATCAAGCTTCACAGCGGTTTCACTTTATTGACACAATATTAGTGCACACAAACCACTTTTTTTTCTTTAAAAATACCATAAATTAGGAAGTAAACGAGGAACAATATAAAACAAGCAAGGAAAAAAAAAGTGCATGTTAACCATGGTATATACCATAAAGTCTTACACTGTAGTTTACAACCTTTTTTTTCATTGTTGTTTATGTATATTTTGTCTGCTTGTAGGTATGTGTTATGTTTTAGACATGTCTCTAGCTTGGATGGATGTGTCATGCCTTTTTGGGGGTCAGGGCTGAGATCCAGGCTGCTTCCCTGAGTTGTGTTCGGCACAAAGCGTTATACAAGCCTAACAACATGACCGTCACCAAGTGAAACAATTTTGGGGTTCATTTTTGTGCTTTTGATCATACCTGTAAATTAAATCTTAGTGAATGGTTCCACAACACAGCCTACAGCTATGTTATTCATTTAAGGAGGCATACAGGAGGTAAATTCAAAGGAACAAAAAAAAAAAGTAAACACAAAGGTCTTAGCTGCTCTAATCCCTGGATTTCCTTTCTTTTCTTCTCTCAGGAAAGGAAAAAAAGCTAAATTATACTTACGAAGACTTTAAAAATATAGGGTTCTTTTTTTTGTACATTATGCCAACATTATTTTGTGGGTTAGGATGCTTAGTTCTACATATAATATCGCTGAGAAGGCTCATCTAACCAAATCCAGAAAGTTTAGCACCAAATTTCACTCTCTGCCTTTTAATATTGAAAGTCTATACACAAGAGTTACCCCACAACTTGTTAAAAAATCCACTGTTGGCGATTGTTTCAACTATTCCAGTCTAATCTGTCTGGGTGTAAATATATGGTAAAGTTAATTGACTATCTAAATATTTACATAAAAGATAAAAAGAAAAGAAAAACATAAAGCATGTCAGGGGCCATTTGAAACCACAAGGATCCTGGCTGATATGTATTGTATGTCTGAATATCTGTTATCCTATGGCAGTGAGAAGTCACTTATTTGAGGTATATTTTGTTTGCAGGTGTAGATGCAGCTTTCACACTCTGTCTAACCTTTCCTAAATATGTCACCTTAACAAGAGAGAGAGAGAAAATAATAAAAGTGCTAGGCATTTAGTGGCCTAGCAGCAGCAGACTGCTACTGCTGGTAAGGCTAAACAAAGATACTATGTAGGAATGTCAAATTAAAATTTGAGCAGTTAGTTCATTTTTATATTCCAGTTTTGCCACCCAAACACATCTGATGCTTGTTGACATGAATCTTTTACAGCTCCTGTTAGTGCAGGATGGTTGCAGGTCCTCTCCTGTGTCCTCAGTTTGAGCACTACGTCACTGCACTGGAACTGACAGAGTAGTGCGCCTAGCATCCCTACTAGTTGAAAGCACTTCATGTCACCTCCAATTCACCAAACCTGACAGCAGTCTCAGCAGAAAACCTTTTATATGACAACAGAGACTATATGTAAAATAATGTTATTATAATATGATGATTAAAAACATGGCAGGTGTATGCTTTCACCCATCCACAAACACCATGCAGGAACTCATAAAGGCCAGTTTGGCACTAATTTCTGTATCCCAGTCTAACCTCATGCTGCAATTTAAGTTTAGATCGTGGGGTTTCTGGTTTTGGGAATAGAGATGCAAAGAGAGGAGAGTCAGGGGAGCAGCCTCAGATCTCTTTTTGTTGGTTTGTTTTCTCCGTTTCTGTGTAAGCACGAGATGTCTTAGTGTTTGTGTCCATGGATGTGTCAGGACAGCCCCTTTTAGAAATGCACTTCTTTCCATTAATCTGATAGCAAATGAATGTGTCACCTTCAAGTGTGAATGAGCACCCTCGTCACTTTGACATAAAAACCTCAACTGTAACCGGACAAGCTCAGCCCTCGTAGCTTTACATCTTTATGACTTGCTCAGCCTTCTAGCAAATGCCCCATTGGGCAAAAAAAATTGTAAAAATCTAATTTCCATGAATATTAAAATATTGTTCTAGGATTCATTTTGCAATTTCCAATCCGGAGGAGCAGAAGAGAGCTCTCGTTTTTGGCACCACACACTCACCTGCTGTTAGTGATAACATTGAAAAGAACTAAATGATCAGAAGAAAATGGCAGGCCTTTTGTACTTCTCTATGGCAAAAATATCTAACACACCATGGCTCTGTCTGAATGAAGCCGTGAGGAGTGGTTACGTAATGTCTAAATGACAGGGTGCCATCACTTTAACGGACTGATGAAGCCAGCAGTTTTACATATTGCATGTCTGAAAAGGGCTAAGTTTTAGTTTTTTCTTTGCTTTTCTGTTTTCATGGTTTTTGGACTGATATGAAATTTTAAAAGGAATGTTGATGCCATTAGTGTGCGTGTGTGTGTTTGAAATGCATTTGTGGGGTTTGTGTGAGAGCATGAAGATGTTTGGGCTCACTCAGTCAATAACTTGATCTCATTGGCAAGGAGGGTGTTGAAGTTGTAGGCTGGATCAGCTAGGTCTGGGAGATCAGGCAGGCTGGGGGCTGTGGACTGGCAAGGTGACGACTGGGAGGGCTCGGCCAGCTCTGGGTCGCTCTCGCTGGAAGTTGACCCCACGCTCATGTTGCAGACTGCTTCAGGCAGCGAGCCACCGCCAGAAGGCACGTTGCACACTTCGGGCTCGCTGCTGGTCTCGCTGGTGCTTGACACGACGGACAGCAGAGACATCTTGCGAGTGAGGCGGTTTGGGAGCATTGACAGGACATAGTCAGCAACAATGCCTGCTACGTCCATGCCACAGGCCTGGTCGAAAGCAATGAAGCCCACATTTGCGTTGGCCTCGCAAACCACAAACGAGCCATCGTTGAGCTGCAGGAGGTCAATGCCGCACACATCCATGCCCAGGATGTTAGACACCTTGATGGCCAGCTGCTTGCCCTCCTCACTCAGGGGGCACATCATGCCTACACCACCTGACAATTCAAGAAGGAACATCAGGCTTATTAGTACGAACCACAATTTACAATTCTTTCACGAGACTTCATGATAGTCAAAAAGCAACTAATCTTTTATAAATCAAGAGCAATTATATTAAAAAATGACGTGGGGACAACTTAGGATCCTTTAATGTTTTCTGGTTATTTTCAATATTTAATTTCACAATTAAATACCACATCAAATTCACCCTAGAAGTGTCAAAGAGATTTGCTACAGGAATGCAGAAGACTGTGATGACTGATGTCCTAAATATGTCACAGTATATTACAGCCTCAGCTAAACTAAAACGTTCATCCTCTGACAGTGAAGATCAGTCTCCTCAGCTGGAACGCTCCAGGGTTGATTCAGGACAAGCCTGTTGATTTCGCACTCTTTCCCAAAGTTAAGTTCTGAAGCATTTCTACTCGCGTATACATTTCTTATCACTAAGTTCATATTTTTTTAAAGATAATTTTTCCATTGGGAACCTAAAAGATAAAAATGATCTTTAAAAATTACACCATATCTAAATGTAAATAATAAATAGAAGAGCTCTTGTTCTCAAACAGTGATACCACTTAACCACATGACTTTCAAACATGAGGAGAGTTTTACCATGACCGTGGAAATAATTCAGTAATTTAATGTCTGCCTACCCAAGGAGCAGTTGCTCTGCATGCGACCATCAGTGGAGCAACGCAGCATGGAGCCGATGATACGGCCGCCCACTAGGACAACCCGCACATCACGGCCGTGCGACTCCTTGACGTACTCCTGAAATAGGTAGGGGGTATCGTGGCGGATCACGTGGCAAAGGTCCGTCAGGTGGTGTTTGTCCCGTGCCAGGAACACAGCCTTGCCTAAGCAAAGGGGACACAAGATTAAAGAAGGAAGGAAGGAAGGAAGGAAGGAAGGAAGGAAGGAAGGAAGGAAGGAAGGAAGGAAGGAAGGAAGGAAGGGCTAGATTTTAAGGTTTATATTTTACTAGTCTGTCCAATCTAAACAGATCTATGTCATGGCGGCCTGAAGACATATAGCTGTGTTGATATTACCACACTAAAAGAATTTTCTTGCTGGGTCTGTCATTTGTGGTGTGCTAGCTGAGGGTGGAAAACCTAAAAAGCTTGGCTAACAAGTAGCTGCTTCTGCTGACCAAGTCTCATGCCAGTTCATGTCATACAAATGACAGGATACTCCTCTGAGCAGCCACAGAACTGCTTCTCACACAGGATAGAAGTTGCCTCTCTTAATTAGCACTGCTTTGCACTGTCTTCTTATTTTCAAGACCTCTGACCCCTGCTGAGGGAAAAATCATGTGGTTGCTGTGTGTCTGTGCACACCACGCAATAAAAACACAACATCAATAACGGTCTTGTGACTCCTTTAGACATGTGACCATTACGTATCTGAGAAAATACTGAGAAGGTCAGTCAGTACATCAGGCCACTTGCCAGTAACACCAAAACATCTGCTGAGACCCTTGGTGTCATCTTTGACCAACACCAGGATTTTGAATCTTTAAGCTCATTCATTTTTCTCCTGACTTTGACATTGCAGCTCACTTTTCACATGCATCTCTCAGTCCTTCATAACCCACCTCCAGTTGCTGCAGATTGCACCAAGCAAGGCTGCTAACAAAAACTAGCTGTTGCTCTCATATCACACGTATTTTTGTTTACCTGCACTGGCTCCCAGTGAAACACTAAATCCACTTTACAATCCTATTATTAACCTTTAAAGCCCTACTTGGACAGGCCCCTGCTTGTATAGAAGAGCTACTAAGACCTTGTCACTGCAGCCAACTTCTCAAATCATCAGATCAGGGTCTCCTTGTCAGTAGTCTTAAATGACTACTGACAATTCCTTTTTATAGATTAAGAGAAAATTAATCTTTTCCTCATTATTTTTGGGAGTTTTTTCCCCAGGTCTATAGCAGTGTGCATGCTGGAATGAATCTGTGACCCTATGGTTGATTATGTGTCTGTATGTCAGAATGTGTATACTCATCTTTAGTCTGTGGCTTTTATTCAAACCGTGAAGCAAACTCTGTGTTTTGAAAAGCGCTATACAAATAAAGTTATTATTAATACCAGTGATTCATAATATTTTTAAAAAGTATTTCCTTTATGTGTGCTCTTGAGAGGGAAGGGCAAAGTGGAATTCATTCGTGTCAATGGTCAACCACAGAGAGAGTAAAAACAGCCCTCCAGACGCCTAACGCCATAAAAAGGGTCAAGTTAGTGGTTGACCAGTGACTGCTTTCCTAAACAATGTGCTGTGATGGCAGCCTGGGCCAGCAAAGACCATTGTTATTCCTTCACACAATAGCAGCGACTGTCAATAACTATGAATAGGAAAGGGCTAATGGTTCAGACCGGTGCTGATCTCTTGGAAGCACAACATTAATGCCAAAGCTTCAAACCTTCCCACACAAGCCTCTTGTGTATTCAGTCTAAAAGAGGAAACTGAGATCAACTTGTTAACCATAAACTAAAATAAGTGACCAGATGACCACACTGCAAGCATTAAGAGCTTCTGTTTTGTGTTTGATGCAGCACCGCAGTGCTAATCATTTAACAGTCTGCCAGAGAATT